TTGCGACAGGGTCCAGAGCCCCAGCCCAGGCGTGAGCGAGCACAGAAGTAACGGCTCTGAGAGAAATCCCTCCCTTTTTCTGTGTTTAGTTCCAGAACTTGGAGAAACTCTTCCTCTAGAACATAGATACTTGAGTCAATACTTAGTTTTAACTCCCCGCAGCATACTTCTCAAAGAAGTTGCATTTCTACAGACTCTTTCGTCACTGCCATTTTAGACACCAGAGGACGGTTGCTTCACTGAGAAAGAAGAAAGATGTGGCTTGTGAGAACCATTAACAGTTAACCATGGGTCACAGCCGATCAAGATTTACACAATTGTAATTAAAAAAAAACCCCAACTGTACAGGTACAGAATCCTGTTGAGGCTAGTGACAGGAAGGAGTTCCTCACAGCTTTAAAGAGCAAAGGTTTTGATCCCAGGAATGTTTCTGACTTCTCGTTTCCACACTGTCACTCCAGTTCAGTTTTCCAGTCATCTTGGGGAACACGGTGAGCAAACCGCCCCCACAGACCCACCGAAAGTCAGGGACAGCAGCCAAGGTGGAGACCAAGTTAAGGAAAAACAACATTAATTCCTTTATTACTTTTCCAAAGTCATATACATTATGCTGCAAATTTTCAATAACATTTTTCTTCCTCTTGTGCTGGCCTTTGCCATATAACCCATACACCAAGAGTGGGGTCAGCTAGTCACATACAGTTGTTTTCTGAAAGTCTTAAGACTGCTGCTGGCTTTTAAGTGCAAGGCTGCTAATGATCAAAATTATTCTGATTAAAATAGAGCAGGCAAAACCCTCCAAAAAGGTGATTCATTTTTTATTAATACCCATCCAAACAATACAGAGAAAAGAAGAAATTTTGCATAGTACACAATGTTTAGACAAACACAACAAAGGGATGGGGCATCCACAGCTTCTCTGGGCAACCTGTGCCAGTGCCTCACCACTCTCACAGTGAAAAATTTCTTTCTAATATCTAGCCTAAATCTGCCCTCTTCCACTTTAAACCCATTACCCCTTGTCCTCTCACTACACTCCCCGCTAAAGAGTCCCTGCCCATCTCTCCCGTAGGCCTCCTTCAGGTACTGGAAGGCCACTATAACGTCCCGCAGGAGCCTTCTTTTCGCCAGGCTGAACAACCTTAAGTCTCTCTGCCTGTCCTCACAGTGGATGTGTTCCAGCCCTCTGACCATCTTTGTGGCCCTCCTCTGGACCCGCTCCAACAGCTCGAGGTCCTCCTTGCATTGGGGGCTCCACATCTGAACACAGTACTCCAGGTGGGGCCTCTTGAGAGCAGAGCAGAGGGGCAGAATCACCACCCTGGACCTGCTGGCCACCATCAACCAAGACCCCAAAGTCCTTCTCCTCAGAGCTGCTCTCAATCTATTCTCCATCAACCAAGACCCCAAAGTCCTTCTCCTCAGAGCTGCTCTCAATCTATTCTCCACCCAGACTGTATTTGTGCTTGGGATTGCCTTAACCCATGTGCAGGACCTTGCATTTGGCTTTGTTGAACTTCATGAGGTTGGCATGGACGCACCTCTCAAGCCTGCCCACATCCCTCTGGATGGCATCCCTTCCCTCCAGCATGTCTACCACACCACACAGCTTGGTGTCATCGGCAAACTTCCTGAGGGTGCATGTGATCCCACTGTCCATGTTGCTGACAACAATGTTAAATAGCACCAGTCCCGATACTGATCCCTGAGGAATGCCACTCATCACCGGTCTCCATTCAGACATTGAGCTGTTGACCGCAGTGCGACCGTCCAGCCAATTCCTGATGCAGTAGGCGGTCCATCCATCTGTGATGGGTTTACCCTTGGCCCCTGGGCTGGGGGCCAACCCACACACCCATTCACTCAATTCTTCCTCCCCCCCTCGAGGAGGGGGGTAAAGGGAAAAAAAGGACTCATGGGTTGAGATAAGGACAATTTAATAATTAAACCACAATAATATTGAAAATAATACTATATACAAATATACAAATGAGTGATACACAGTGATACTGCCCCCCCCCCCACCCGATGACCAAGGCTCAGCCTGTTCCCAGATAATGATCCCAGAGCAGGGAGAGTCCCGAAACCACACTCACAGAACAGAGATAACAGTACAAGTGTCCCAGACCAAGAGCTGACCAGGGGGAAGAAGCCTTGGGAGAGGGACCACCTAGAGGGAGATGACCTGGAATGAAAGAGATACAGAACAAAAAGGGACCCAGAACAAAAGGGGCGATCTTCCGGAGTGTCCTCACCTATATACTGGGTATGACGTGTATGTTATGGAATAGAGATCGTCATGATTGCAAGCAAGGCTAAACTTTACCTTAGAAAGTTACGGTAGTAACTCTTGCTTTGTTTCAAGTTAGGGCGTTGGGATTTTGAAAGGCAAAAATATGCCATAGCAGAAGTTCTTATGTTTGTGGAAAGTGTTTCTCCCACATACATTCTTTAGGTTGTTAATTCTATGAAATTCTATGAGGTGCTGTCAGGTAATTAAAAAGAATTACCTCTAAACTGCATGAAGAGGTTTCTAAAGGATTTACTTTTCATGTACCAAAATGAGATTTAATTTAAAACCTTTATGTAACATGCAATGGACTATCCACCACCACAGACTAATTATAAAAAAAAAATTATTCCTACAAGTTCCTGGTTAAAGGGAAGGAGAGGGGAAGGGATGACAAAATCAAGAAAATCAATATGTGGTTAAGGGAGTGGTGCTGTGGGCAGGGCTTTGGCTATGTATACCATGGGACTCACTTTGAGAAATCTGATCTTCTGGCGGCTGAGGGGGTGTATCTTTCAGAGAAGGGGAAGATCGTATTTGGCAACAAGCTTTCCAACTTAGTCAGGAGGGCTTTAAATTAGAATTGCCGGGGGAGGGGATCCTAAATCCATCTCACTTCAAGGCCAATGACAGTAATGGACGCCCTGGGCCTGGAGTAGGGTCACAGGCCGGGAAGGCTACAGGAAAGATGGGGGGGGCATGCAGTGACAGGATGAGGGGTCATGGCTTTAAACTGAGGGCAGATTTAGACTAGATATTAGAAATAATTTTTTCCTGTGAGGGTGGTGAGGCACTGGAACAGGTTGCCCAGGGAAGCTGTGGATGCCCCATTCCCTGGAGGGGTTCAAGGCCCGGCTGGGTGGGGCCTTGAGCAACCTGGGCTAGTGGGATGTGTCCCTGCCCATGGCAGGGGGGTTGGAACTAGATGATCATAGAATCACAGACCATGATCTCTAAGGTCCCTTCCGACCCAAACCATTCTATGATTCTATAAGATGGAAAACAATGATAAAATCTTATTAAGTTTTCAGTTGTTTTCTTTTAAAGAGAGGTACTGGTAGAGGTATCTGGGAGATGTTCGGATCTGCAGTGTTCCACAGGCAATCACAGCAACATGTTGCATAGAAAAATATATATAGGAAGAAAACATGAAAGAAAAGCAAATAAAGGACTTTATTTGAGACTTCTTAATAAATTTGAAGATTTTTTTTTAATGTGTAAATATATACATATAAGTAATACTTACTGAATTATGCACAGATAAGAGCACACAATTTTTGAAAAGAAAACATGACAGAGTAGAAGTCAAGTATGCCTAAATCAAGTATCACTGAGGATAAGTGAACGCTCCAATTTCTTTCTTCATTGCCTAACAAGAAAAAAAGAAAAATGACCAGTCAGCGTGAAGAATAGCTTAAGAACCCTGTTTATTTCTTCATAAAAAGAATACAGAATCTGTACACATATACAATTGTTAATAATATTTATCAAATACATGTACTACCACCGTCACAATATCTTTCTATGCCCAGTGGCTTCAAACACATCCTTATGCATCCAAAACAGAAAGCAGGCTAGAGAGACTGGACGAATGTGTATGAAGAGACTAAAGGTCTGCAACAACAATGGTTTCAACAATTGTTGCTTGAGACAGCTCCTGAAAAGCCACAACTAAAAGCTGGAAATGTAATTTTCTGCACTCTGAAAAATTACTTGTTAAAGTAATTTTAATTCTCTTCACACAGTAGAGGTTGCTCCTGACTGACTTGCATGGTCATTCTGAATATATATTTTTTTTTGTTAAAACTAAAGGTCGAAAGCAAATCTAGTCCGTTTTCATTTAAGCTTTAAAAGTGAAGTCACAAAGGCTGACAAGCCCAGAGATAACAGCAATAAATCCCTTCTCATGCTAAAACACGTCATTATACTGGATGAGAGAAGGGTGCATTTTTCAGGAATGGCCTCCCTGAATCAAAATAATCCTCACTGTTGCACAACCAGAACGGAGCATCCTTTCTAACTCTTTATCAGATGTGGAAAAAGAGATTGAGGTGATCAGGGCCAAAGAGAAGAGGCTTTCTGTTTTTTAAGGCAGACTGAGAGGCATAATGAATTTTATTTATTCTCAGACACAAGTAGATTCAAGGATCTTGAATATGAAGATTTAATATCCAATCTATCTAAATCGACTTAATACTGGGAATGCCTGACTGGGAGCACAGGCTCCTCTGGAAGATTTCTGCTGAGTTGTGACAACTCAGGAATCCTCTCTTAGAGGAAGAGATCAGAACATTTGACTCGTTAGCATTAATCCGTCATAGGCAGAAATCTCCCCATATGTCAAATGAAAGATGCTCAGGCCACGCTAGGTAAAAAGAGATTATGGTGAGACTAGAGAAAAGTCTCAAACTCTCATTATATTTCATACTTCATTTCTTTTCAGGAATGGAATAACTACTCTATGAAGTATTACCATGTCTGACTGCCTGTAAGGCGAGAAGAAGAAGCAACAGACCAAGAAAAGCACCCCTCTTTCATAGACCCTCACCCCCCAAAAAAGCTTCTGGAGAAGGACTACTGACAGACTGAGGTTAAGTGCTTTGAGAGGGCTCTGTGGGTGTACCCATTCTCTTCCAGTTCTAGCCCTTTCCTGCTTTTTTTTTCTGCCAACAATTATGCCAAGTACAACAATGGTTTTGCAATATGGTCAAACATCTTCCAGACTGAAATGAAAGTCTTGTAACACAGGGAACTAAACAGTAAAGAGTAATGCTAAATAACTGTAATGCCGAGAGTGCACAGACACATATGCATTAACCCAGAGATGCAGAACAGTGATAGAAAGTGCTATAAAAAGGAAAAAAAAATACCTTCACTAACTGGGTTTTGTCATAATCTTCCCGGTGTCGGTAAATGCACTGACAAAGAGCAGCGTATAGTTTTTCCAATTGAAATATATTTAAGTTCTTAGTTTGCACAGTTACAGAATCCAACAGGTGCTGAAGAAAAAACAAATGGAAACAAGTTTAAAATAGTGCAAGATCCTTTGAACTGTCTCTTTATGTTTTCAGAAACTAAACAATAACAATACAAGTGACATCCTACTTTCTTATACTGTTAAATAAAATATGAGTGACACTTCAGAAAACAGATTAAATATCTCACAAGATATTTAAACTGCAGAAAATTAGTTATTTTTTCATATTTCAGAGAAAACAGAGGCTCAACTTTCAGACAATATTTTATTACTAATCAATCTATCTCATCCATGATCATAATTGCAAATCAGCTGCTTCCAGAACAGCAGGGAATGCTAAAATCCACTTTACCGTAGAGTTGCTGCCACAGCAAAGCCACTGTTGCATTTTATTAGAGAAACTGTTGCTTCAGTGCAGAGCACCATGAAATGGATCTTTGGAAGCCAGCTACAGATCTTACTAGACACAGCTGTGCCAGCTAAAAACAGAAGCATCCATAGGTGCTCACCTTCACCCAGGAGCTGAATGTGTACCATGCCTACAACTCTGCTGGCAGAACACACTGCTCAGCTTTCCTTTCTGAAGCAGATAGCAAGCAAAGTTAGATCTGGTAGCTCCTATCTTTAAACTGAAGAGTGGATAAACCAGCAGAGTGACTCTGTTTGTAGCAAATTACCAATCTCTCACACAGTCGTTTCTGTTAACAAAGATGTGACAAACTAGTGGCAGCACCTTCCTCTGCTGCTGTGGCTGTTCAGTGTCTGTGCATTCTGTGAGACCCTGAAGATGTAGCTTAAGAGAGCACACCAAATGAAAGTATCACTGCCTCACAACAGCCTGTCATCAAACTCTGCCCCCCTCAGTTCAGCTAGCACAGAATTTGAATATTCCCCTCAACTTCATTCTATACAAGATGCAGATAAGGCACACCGAAACCACGCAGCATGCTTTCTGCTGCTGCAAACAGGACAAGTAGGATGTGACAGATGTGTACGATCAATATCTCATGTGAAACTATTTCTAATTGCTACCACATAGATGACTGCATGCTTCTCTTCTATATGTTCATGAAATTCTGGGCCTATTACCAAGCAAACACACAAACAAAAATACCCCAAACAAAACAAAGCAGTTACATGTGGCAGGTTCACCTAGCTTGTTCATTGCAGGCCAGTTCCAAAGAGGCTCTCTCGTACAAGCAGCTAGTTCCAATGACACCCATGTTAATGAAACAAGTTCCCTAAAAGACATGGTTCATGACTGTAGCTCTCCTCATAGCTGAAACCTATACAAGGAGTCTGTTGTACCATTTCAGCAGTGGGAAATAACTTCGGAGCACATGCTGTCAGCACCCTGACTCTACCAAAAAAAAAAAAAAAAAAAAAAAATCTATGTGACACCTCCACGTACACACAGGCAGACATGAACAACAAAACCCCCTGAAATCTGCTTCCTTAGGAAGCTAGCTTTAAAGAGTTAGTTTCACGTCTACAAATTAGGTCACAGCTTAAAAATGTCACAGAAATTGTGTTGACAAGCCCCTTCACCAAAGGGGTTTCCTATCTGGTCCCATTCTCGCCACACAGGGAAACACACATATAACACTGCCTTTCTCATTATGGTAGGGAAACAGCAGCCCTCCTCTGCTTTGGCCAACCTCCAGGACTCCAGCCTAACAGTTTTCCTAGTTTTCCTCAGTGCAATATCTCCTGAAGATCAGGTCCTTGTTCTACTTGTTCTATTGTTGTCTGTTCTACTCTTGTTTTTCTATTTCAGAAGGTGTTCAGGGCCAGGCTGGATGAGGCTTTGAGCAACCTGGTCTAGTGGGAGGTGTCCCTGCCCATGGCAGGGGGGTTGGAACTCGATGATCTCTAAGGTCCCTTCCAACCCAAACCATTCTATGATTCTGTGAGAAGTTGCTACTTGTATTTTAGCCACGATGAGCTTTACGTCAACCTGCTAACTTCAAGTTTAAAGTCATCACTGCTAGAAATAAAGGTCCTTTTCAGGTTCCTAAGAAATGAAAACATGCAAAAACCAAACCAAAAGCCCCAAATCCCTCATTAAAACTGTTAAGACATGAATAACCAACAGTGCTAGCTGGCTGTCAGTGGGCTATTTTAAAATTCAGTAAGAACCTTTAAATTAATAATTAGGATGAGAACCTAGTCTCATAAAAGTTAGTTCAACAAAGGAAGAACAGCAGGTGTAGAAACACAATAGTCATCATCCATTACAGGCTGAATTATTTCACAAGCTATATATCCTTCCCAGAAATTGTTTTAATTGGCATTGGTTAACAACTGACTTAATTTACAGCTGTACAAGTAGCAAGAAAATGTCCTACTTCAGTATTAACAAAATTGAAATTAGACTTACTTTGAGCTCACAGTAATCCACAATCACTGGCTGTGTGAGAACTTCCATTTCTTTCTCAACACCTATCATCTGTTCTTCTTCTACTCGAGAATGTCCCGCATGAGTCACACGCGGTACCCACGAATCTGGAATGACACAAATTGCTTAAGACAGGATTTCTGTTTATCTGGAATATAATATCAGTGAAGTATCTTCTACCTGGAATACAGTCTCTCTCTGCAATGGCAGAGGCAGAACTGTTACCATTTTTTCACTGAGAAATGCTTGACTTTTCCCTTTGTTCTGGCAAAAGTCACTGATCCACAAAAATTAGAAACTCAGACACAAAAAAGCACTAGAGAAAAAGTTAGGGTAAAACAGGAAAAAAAAAAAAAAACCTAGTCATGTTGCCATTACAGCACTACATGGTAAAACTCCAAAGTAATTCAGGTTAGGAAACACATCTTCCATTGCAAACATTAGGACATAAGTCTTCTATTCCACATGTCACTCTGGGTCCATGCTGCTTGAAGTACAGCTTTTTAACTTATGCTGCTCATTACTGAGAAGATACTAATACAAGGAAAGAAACTCAACAACTGTGTTTCAATTAGGTATTATCTGAAAAACAAACTTCAGAATCAGAAAACCAGCAGCTGCAGAACAACATTAATTTGGCTAAGGGGGCAGCATCATTATGCAGGAAACACTGTGTGCTAATTTTCAGAGATACAAGAGAAATAACAAAATGGAATTAAAGAAGGCTAAAACCTACTAAATAGTGTAATCCTCCTCAGGAAGAAAAAGGAGCTAAATGACCTGTTGGACCTTTCACTTACCATTTGGATCTCCATCTCTAGAACTTTCTGCTGTTTGGCAATCCAGCACTTCACTCTCCTTTCTTATGCGTGAATGTTCAGGAAGCACGACATGCTTCTTTTCAGAAACAGATTTAGCCACAAGGAGAAATCTCTCTCTTTCATGTTCTGTCCCAGATTTATTTGCATTCCCATTTTTCTGTCGTTCTTGAAGTACGTTTTCATTTTCTTCCACAGAAGAATCCTGTGGGGACTCAACTTCAGTGTGATTTGTGTTAGAAAAGTGTTTTTCTGGAGACTCTTCATCACTCCCTACTTCATTTTCGTCTTCTGGAACTTTATTCTCTTTATTGAACTGAAAATTCCTCCTCTTTATTGCAATACCTGAAGCCCCTTTGTCCTTCTTGCGTTTTCTTTTTGACATACCTACAAAGAGAGATCAGAAAAAGTCATCCAGAGCATTACAAAAATACTGTTTCTTGTAACTGAAAACTAGTTGAGTATTCAGAAACTGCCACGTACAACATTTTTCACTTCAAGAGGTTGCAATTTAGGAGCCATTAAATGTCAGTTGGCCTCAAGGCTGGTGTCTTACAATGTCAACCTTCCAACTACTGTACTTGAACTTCATAACCACAATGAATGAATGACCTCAGGATTTATCTCACATTTTGAAGCAAATGAAAAAAAAAAAAGCCCCAGCATGAGGAACCAGGCATCACAGAAACCTGTTATGTCACAAGAACAGAGAAGGTATCAGTGACTTTACACCTTCTCCGAGAAAGTTTGAATAAAATACAACTTGCCGTTAGAGCGAGGAGTACTGGAATCTACAGGTGCTGCTGGCATCTTGATTTTTTCATTACACTTTGGGTCTGTTTTCTTAAACCCACTAACAGAGTTCTGCTGTGGCATTACATGGTAGTAAGATGGAGCGTACTTTGAAGAGCTACAACCTTGTAATGAAGAAGAGAGAGCAGAGAACTGTGTCTTGTACTGTTGGTTACAAATACTGAGACAAATCCTAACATCCATAGCGTGAAAAAACATACCTCGTTTTTTACGAGATTCTTGAATTTCTTCACAACGTTGTTCAAAATCTTCATCCAGTTCCTCCCTCACCATAGCGTATGCAGTATCTCTCAAAGAACAAGCTCTGTGCCTAATGAGACGATCTGAAATTTGACAGTCAGAACTACCTTCTATCAATCCTTTATTTAGATTACTTCAAAAGATTTTGCTCTTTTCATAGGTAGGTTCTGAAAGGTTATTTCAGTGAGTATTTTCAGCATAACAACATAAAAGTGAAGTACTAAAGCAAAAGCACTAGTTACTGATCAGCACCTCTATCACTATTTCAGGCCCAAGTACTTTACTGCTACAACATTTACAACCTGGCAAGAAATGCTCTCTGTGGATGTATAAAGTGATCTAATCCCAAGTCTACTATCCATAGATGACAGTTATCAATTTATACATTTAAAATTTTTCCAAATTAGGGATAAACACACATCCTCACCTCCAGGATCTTTATCTGGGTTGTACTCTAAAGCATTGCTACAAATTAGATCAATGTCTTTCAGAAAATCTCCTGCAGTTAGGTACTGGTGCAAGTCAATCTTAGAGAGAATTGCCGAAAGGTCCATGGGCTGTTTAATAACTGCGTCATAATCGGGTACCTATAAATGACAGAGATGTGCTCAGAGATTTAACACAGTAGCTACCAAAAGTAATTATTTTAATAAAGTCAAATAAAGGACTTCTTCAAAACCCCAAATATTGATGACACATCCAAAGGTGTAGAAATTAACCAGTTAAGTGTCTTGAAAATAGAAGGGCTATTTCAACTGGCTTTGAAGAGACAGACCAGAAGAGAGAGAAAGAAGCAGGGAGGTCAGGAGCCTGTGTGGAGCAGAGAGGGGAATAGATACCCTGAGTGGGATTAATTTAACTTTGCTTCAGAAAACCACAGAAAAGAACTGCTTCTCGGTAAAGTCATACGAGATTCTCTTTGTTGTTGGCAGCAAGAAAAAGGCTGCAGCAGTTGCACCTTTGAAGGATCTGTCCTAGGCATCTACTTTAGAATGAGATAACTGGACCCAGAGGTGCCGATTTCTTGACTCAGACCACAAATGGAACCTAATGACTAGTTTAGATGAGGACATCCATGTTTGTTTAGATTATTCACATCTCGGAAACTAGCAGTAAAGGGAAAGACAAGTCAGTGAAAGCTTAGGGGAATGGAACTTTGCTGAAACACAAAGCTACATTAAAACCAAAGCTGACTTTGAAGTATATGCCCCTGGCTTAGACTTATTCAATAAATTAAATGAGAAAAAAACATAAGAAGTGTATGGGAGGAAGAAGAAACCGCACAGCCCTTATGGTTGATCTTCTACTGAAGAGGCCCAGATGAAATAGAGAATAGCATTTTAAAATTATTTTTAAAACAGGTGCTTCTCTTCTTGTTCTCACATAAACTATTGACAGTCGATTAAAGAGCTTTAGGCTCTATTAACGCAGTTCTACAGATACGGTTTGTAATTCTGAAGAAAGAGATTTCTCTGCTGTTCAGTGCTCTAACATGCCTACATATCAGAGCCTTTTCATGAGGAAAGTGTGTTGGCATTTGGTCTAACTGGCAGCTGGATTAGATGATTATTGTAGGTCCCTTCCATCTGAAATATTCTGAAATTCTAAAGATGTTTTAGAAGGAACCCAGGGCTTTCAGTGAATACTCAAATATCAGACATTCAAGAGCCTCCAGGAGTCGGCACAAGTAAAAGCAAAATTCACTTCATGCTTCTTGAACAGTCAGAACAGCACTGTCCTAAATACAAGGATAAACCTTCCTATAAAGAGCACACAAAGATTGAGAAATACACACACAGAGACATTATGAATACACACAGGTAAAATGGTATTACAGATCAACACTGATTTACCTCCTCTGGGTCAACAGGCTTTGTAAAAGCTCTGAAACGTCTGTCAATAACAAGTCTGTGAGTCACATCCCTTAAGAAAATCCTAAGTTCACGCAACGTATCCTCCTCCCGTTCCTCCAGCTGTCTTATTTCTTCCTCTGTCAGCTGTCGAGGCTTAGGTGGCGGTGCTACAGGCAGTACTTCCAATGTCTGCCGAGCTTAAATTAATCAGAAACTTTTAGTCAATTTACAGTACACTAATACAAGCATATGAAAAATTATTGATAGAGAATTACCACCAAAGCAAATACTGTACAGCTATTAATTTACAGTTAGAAAAGTTTTATATGGAGAATATTCTCACCTCTGTTTTTTGATGCAGGAGGTTTAGCAGCTTGATTTATAAATATGTCTTCAAAAAATGCTCCTCTTTCGTCCCTACCAGGCAACCGGACTTTGAAAACTTCCTCATCATTAATAAACAATTCTTGTACCTAAACCATGACAGAAAAGATATTTCAGATATAAGGCCCCACAAATTAATATTCTGTTCCAAAAAGAGGAGTACCTTTCTAAATTAAACTGAGTGATCATCTGGATAAGACAAACTGTGAAAAGTTATCTTCTTGGCCTCAAAAGGCTAGATTTTAATAGGCTAGCACGGCAAATTAAAAGATCTTCTCTAAGGAACACCTCTAGAGTTAAAGCTCACTGAAGGAACCATATGATACACTGACTAAGTGGTGACATTCACCACTTCCAAAACTGCTGATTTTGTATTTACCTGCCTTCCTGTCCTTTAGTTTGAGTCTTTATGGCTGCTATAGAGGGAACACGCAGGGTTCAGGGGACAAGTGTGGGCTTTTTGGTAAGGTTTTGGTTGTTTGGGATTTTTTTTTTTTAAATTAGTTTAAATGAAGTGTCTAAAGTTGCATACTTCCAAGTTTTATTCCATTTTTCAACCTCTACTACCAAAAGCTATGGAAGGAATTTAAATACTTACGTTAGAAGGAATTTATTAACAATATAAAATTTTCTGTAGAAAGATAAGGCCTTTCAAAAGTATTTGATGATAAACACACCTAGGTAGCACCTCCCCGCACCCTCAAATTAACTGAGACAAAATAATCAGAGCAGCATATTCAGATTTTGAACACCCTCCTTTAATGCACACTCTCAGATGTCTAGAAAGCTAAGCATGTACTCTTACTGAGTTTTGTTAATGAATACAACTAAAAATCGACTTCCAAGTTACTTAAACAGAAGTTGGAACTTTCTAATTTGTAAAGCTTTCATCTATATGAATAAAGAAATTGTATTTTTATTAAATATTTTAATTTTGAAATTACATTCCATCATTAACAGTGTGAGCACCATACCTTTTCAGTAAAAAATATCTTTCACTTTGCAGTAAAACTCTTTTCCCATTTACATTTCAAGCACTGTACATTCTTGACTAAGTACATACTGAAAGAATTGGAGTTGTTCAGCCTGGAGAAAAGAAGGCTCTGAGGAGACTTAATAGCAGCCTTCCAGTATCTGAAGGGGGCTACAGGAGAGATGGGGAGGCACTCTTGATCAGGGAGTGTAGTGAGAGGACAAGGGTTAACAGTTATAAACTAAAGGAGGGTGGATTTAGACTAGACATTAGGAAGAAATTTTTCACTGTGAGGGTGGTGAGGCAGTGGCCCAGGTTGCCCAGAGAAGCTGTGGATGCCCCATCCCTGGAGGGGTTCAAGGCCAGGCTGGATGAGGCTTTGGGCAACCTGGGCTAGTGGGAGGTGTCCCTGCCCATGGCAGGGGGGAACTCGATGATCTTTAAGGTCCTTTCCAACCCAAACCATTCTATGATTCTATGATTCTGTATCTAGCCATCTTCCGAGTCCCTGGAATTACTGACTGAATTAAATGCAATACATCTGTCTAATAAGCATGAGTTATGAGAATGAGGAAAAAGTTGGGTCAAAGTCAATCTCTTCACTTAGAAAACACTTCAGACAACTGCTTTCAGCATTGTTTTGTCTAAGCAAATTTTAAGAGACCTGGGTCTGGTGCCTGAATAATAACAGTAAGAATTTGCTTAAGAGTGCATAGTACTCCAATGCTTAAAGGATTTATAAATTAACAAGAAATTGAATAAAAAATTAAAAAAAAGTATCGAGAGAAATACCTCTTTTGGGAGATGTTTGTGACGCACATCAGATGTCGCAAGCAATAAAACTGGAGCAAACGCTGCAATGTTCTGCAGTAGTGTTGTAAAAGTCGCTTTCAGTGTAGCTCCAGCAGCCTCCCACCACAAATGGATATGTGGGATATAAATTATACTTGGTGCTGTTCTTTGAGCTTCTCGCATCAACTGGTAAAATTAAAGCTTGGATAAGAAAACTAAACCATGTAGAATAAGCTAATAAATAACTACACGTCGGTCAAACTGTCTTATGAAATAGGAGTATGTGAAGCCAAAACATCAGAACAAACCAACAAAAGAACAACTCTGTAACAATAAGGTAAAATTTTCACTTGGACTCAAATATAGACATTGCTATGCAGACAGAAATAGACCTGAATTTCTGCCTGATTTTGAAATTGCTTAGGTGTCATTAATTCCCAAAAAGCCTCACAAATCAGCTGGTGTTGTGGTGCGCCTGAAAAAACAAAGCTGACCCTTCAGCAAGATGTATTATTCTGGCTAGATCACTACACGACTGTGACTACACCATTTTCAATTCAGAGTGGACACACACCCGAGTCAGTCTGGAGCACAGTCTGAACAACCAACGACCTCTGTGAAAAGAAGTCTGGTTACAATTCATTATTTCAAGTACATTTTATAAGAGGTGGCCAGTCTTCAGCCTGCCTGAAGAGCTGCATCCCTCACAGCCTCTCATTACCAAGGGATCCGTCAGAGCAGATGACATGCTTCCAAAGACCACAAGCCACTGCCTCCAGGGGGTACCTCAATCACAGCAGAGGACATGCATCTACTGCATGAGGGAATTCGCAGTAGTCCTTTCACACGACAAATGTCTCCACGCACCCTGTCAGATTATCAGTAGTCAGGGAGTTCCCTTGGCAAGATGGGAAGCACCCATGCTATATCCAGGCAGTGACTAGACTTGGTAGTTAGATGACCACAGACGCAACCATCACATAACAAAAAAGGAATTGTTCCTCTTAGGTGACAAATGAGTATCCAGTCAGGTAATGTGGCTGTCCTTACTTGTACAGCTCTCAAATGCTGCTACTAAGGTAAAAATATTTTAATACAGCAATGCCAAACAACAAAATGGATTTCCTGTCTAAAAGTAAAAAGAAAACCAGAACTAAATCTGGTTATATTTAATTTTCCTAGTTAAGAAAAACACACCAGTGTACAAATGTAAGTGTTCTGTGAATTATAATGCTTTTACTGCATATATAGCAGCAGTACATGCTGTATATGTGTATGTAAAAAAAGAAACACTTCTTTTCCCCAAAACCTTGAGAGCCATCTCCAGAGAGCACAGTCTGCAGAAGCAATGAAAACAACTTCCTGGATCCCACCAACATGGGGCAGGATTTCTTGCCATCCAGAGCACCACCTCCCAGCTTCCCAAACTGCTAGCAACATCCTCACTTTAATTTGGAATGGAAAACAGGGCCATGTACAACATCCTTATTCAGTATCATTTTATCTAGAAAAGTGGATTTTCAGACAGAAGTCAACATAACAGCACATTCAAACTAGGCTGTCTCCATTAACCGTGAATTTTGCTTACTTTACTAGTTTATGTACAGTTCGTGAATCCTATGAGATTAAAGAGAAAAAAAGATACCTGTGCACATGCTTCTTCTGGTGTTGTGGTGCTAACAAACAGAACAGATAGGTCTAGCATATAAACTGGAAACTCTTCCAGGGCATGTATTACTGCAGGTGCCAAATGAGAAGTTTGCCCACATCCTGGCTCTCCAACTAGTAAGAACCGTGGCCTGCAAGATGTTGGCTGGTAATACACATTTCTAGAACAATAAGAAAAGCAGTGTAAAAATGAAATGCTGAATAGGCACACAGATGTTAGAAGTTTTAGGTTTTTTCCCCCATATACTTTTTTTTTTTTTGTAAATACTCTCCATATTCCAGCAAAGCTGGTCTGTGATCAGCAACACTATCAAAGCCCATTTTCTTACAAACTTGTACCATACCACCCCTAAGAAATCCTGCCAATCCCCAGGATGTCTGCTATTTGTTTAGCTGGGTTAAGTAACAGCTCTTAAATCACACAGGGGGACTGTCCAGGTAAATACACATGACAGCTGGTCAGTAACCTGATATGGGGGAGAATAACAACTCTCCTTCTCAGCACACAGCAATCTGGATCTCTTCACCACCCATACACACCAATTTTCAGTAGGGCTTGAGTTTAAGTAACTGTGAGATCTCTGCATCTGTCAAGTTTGGCTGAAATTTGGCCATAGTTACTGGAGATAGGGGGAAGGAAGGAGCAGAACACCACTTCTAGAAAAAAATTAACGTGGACACTGAAAGATGTTAGCTGCATCTGAAGAAGTACACAGTGAGATTGTTAAATTACACAGTACACTAAATACATGTAAGATTTCTATTTATTTTATGCAGTCAAAGATGAAACAATTAGAATGAATTGCATATTAATTTCCTAGTAATCTTGCTTTACTAGCATGAAAGACATTGGTGAAGAGCATTTGCTTTTTCTACCACAATACTGTTGTACCTTTGCTAGCTGAAGCCAAAGATCCTGGAGAACTAACCAAACTCAGCAGGTCAGAAGACTTTTTGGACAGCACAGCAATAGAAACTGAGAAAAAGAACTGACCCAACAGGGACGACAACAATCTATTTTTACAACTGCTGGCTTATATGACTTCCACATTAAAATGTCAAAAGATTAACATAAACTTAGTAGGTTAAAGGTACAAAATGCAGACATTGTTTAAATTTTTCTCACGGTGTTTTAACAAAGTATTTCTCAATTTTATTGCTGCTACATAATTCACTACTGGCTAAACAATCCTGGAAGGTAGAAGGCCAAAAGATGGCTGCACAAATCCATACAGATTTTTTCGTTGAAAGGACAGACAGCACATTTCTTTGGTCTTGAGTCTTTCAAGCAGTACGATGGATTAAATCAACATGTTCTAATAGTCTGGGGATCCCTTCGACTTAGGAAAAGAGGGCTGGGCCATTCAGTTGGATAGGTTATAGCAGTGTATTCCATTAGAATGTCAGTACCCGGCTGGATTTTCACACTTCCTTCTTGCAATTACTGATCATACACAGATTTTACTCCTTCATCTACCACCCTTCACACCAAAAGTGTATACGTACCCAGCCACCTTAAAAATGTAAACACTAAGGGGACAAGCATTTACCTGCTAAAATTGAGGAATTTTTCCTTTTGGCTACCAGGCATTTTATCCATTGGCTTATCTCCAAAGATTGATGGTGATTCCTCATCACTGTCCATTGCATCATTTCTTAAAATAGGATTTAAACTGTCTGAAAGACGAGAGAGGTTTGTTAACTTTCCTGAGTAGTGTCTCTTGCTCTTCCATTAATACAGCTTCTAAATTCTAAAGCTGGAAACCCCTTATCTTGTATTTCTTCATTTGAGGGCCCATGCTGAAAGCTATTTTCTGAAGGAGATTGCCCAAGTCTCTACAAAGCTGGCCTACGTCCCATGATTTGCAGAAGGTATATCTCTCTGTTGGTGAAGACTTGGAGGTTTTTTCCTTAGAATAAAGGTGATTAGGAACAACTTCTGTTCCTAGACACCTGAAAAACCCAACAAGGCCACTTCTTTCTGGAGCAGGTTCCCCCACAGGAGGTTGGGGAATTAAGTGGATGTGATGGCTGTCACATATGCTATGCAAGCGAAGCACCGAAGTATCCACTACTAAAACATTCTGATCTCACCTGCAAGTGTACAGTGTGATCCACAAACATTTAAATTAAGAGACTATGGTTAAAAATCAGGATAGCTGAAACAATATTTAGCTTAAACCACTGATATTCGTATTGCGGTTCTGACACTGATCAGAGAGGAAGTAGAAGCATTCATGTAAAAATGCCTCTCTCCCCATTTAAATATTTATTTTGAAAGAGGTGCTTCATACATTAAACCTTAAATCCATCTCTACAAATGCTAAATATGTTAGCTCCTGTCAGAAACAGGGTGCTCTATTAGAGAACGCATAGTTCTCTACTGTGCGTTGCAAGTCATTCACAGCTCCCATCCATCACTTCAGTTTAGGATCCAGAACAAAAACTATGCACGATATTCCTGAAATAAAGGCGTGCACATACATATTACAAAATTCTACTGTTACTATGGCTGAGAAGTTTGTGTACGTTGATTGCAGAAATCAGAAGTGTTTTCTTTGGCAGAATTTTAAAGAAGTAGATGTTCTTGTTATACCTTGCTGTTGGTTCTTCTTTAGTGCAAGCTCTGCGTGGGGAAATACTATCTGCAAGGCTTGTAAAATTCTTGACAGTGTGTTTTCAAACAGTGGTTTTAAAACAGGGGTCAGTGCTCTCCCAGGTGAAGCCACAGCCCTCTGTGAAGCTGGAACAGTCTTCTGCATAGCCATGACAAAATCCTTTGCTGTTATTTTAATAGAAGAGACATCTAACTGCAGTTTCTCACTACTTTGGTATATCTGAGGATAGCGGCGGCGCAAAGCACAGAGGGCAGCTTCAGCACATAAGGATTTAATGTCAGCACCACAGTATCCTAATAAAAAAAACCACAAGAATCAAATGTAATGTCAGTCTCAGGCAACACAGAAGTCAAGGCCGAGGTTTCCAAAGTGCAACAATTAAAGGCTTTGTATGCAGCCAAGAATCAACAGGTTAAGAGAGAATTCAAAGAGTTACTGCACTGCAGACCTCCTAATCAGAACTTTGCTTCTGAGGAAGATGACCCAAACCCATCCACTGTTCTGGGAGATGAAAGTTAAAAGAAAAGAAGGATCTAACTTTGTTTGTTCCCAAGGCATGCCAGCTGCCTCACTGCCTTGCTCTGCAGCAAGGCACAGGAGCTGGGTACTGCCTGGTACGAGCTCAGATTCCAGAGGACTCAGTCACATGCACTAGCTTGCTTTGTTTCCAAACTTACCAGCACATTTTTCAGCTAGCTCTTCAAGAAACGTGTCCAGTGGCTTAGGGGTCCAGTCTCGCGTGTGAATCTTGAAAATCTCTTTTCTAGCCTGGAAACAAAATGGTGGCATTTGCATTTGTCCCAAGTTCTCTCCACAACACCCCAGTGGCCTCACATTAATACAAATACTTTTCTTATCTGCTAAACTTTTAAGTAGGTTAAAGTTCAGTTAATATGCTCTCTTCTTTTTCAAGCAGGAAATGTAGTAATTCTCAACTTATTAAACTCTTTCTGGGGGCCTGCAGTGAAATAAAAGGCATTTATAGCTTCCATAAAAAGTGAGTTTCCACAAGGATGAGACTTAATGATCCTGAGGAAAATATCATAGTAAAAAACTTATCTGCTAACAGAGATTTTTCAAAGAAAACGCCCTCAAATTTAGCAAAGTTTCACGGTGACAGTCTCATTAGTTCATCAGATTTGCTTTTCTGTCAGTTAGTTCAAGGAAAACAGTCCTAGCACTACATTTCAAATTGCTACAATTACTACAAAGAAAAATAATTATGACTCAAACTACTGTCACTAATCCAGAAAAATCTCAGATGCTGCCTATCTTCATCTCTGATCATAGCAAGACTTTCATTTAAGTAATTCCTAGTACACAAATTATGGCAGATTTCTAGAATTCTTCCACAGTAGGGAATCGTGTACCATAGCTGTTTCATGGCATTTCCTCTCCTGTTCCTGAAAGCAGGTAAAAACTGGAGACAAATGCTTGTGTTAAACATGCTGTTTAGTGCACTTTTCCTAGCCTTCAATCCAATAAGCATTTTATCCTTTTTCCGAAAAGTGCTAATCAAAGAAAAAGAAATATCAGTGATAGCCAGAGAAAAACCACAAAAACAGGGTTCCAGTTTTGCAAGGTGTCTTCCCCTCCAGTATTCTTTGGGTTGCTATATTTTTTCATTGCTTAGTTATTGCCATGGAACTAGAAGCTTCCCAAGCCCTGCACCTCTGCAGTGTACTTCACATCTTTGTCCAACTCCCTGTTAATAACAACAAGTAAGAATGTCAGATCCCAAAATACTTCGCAGGTATCTCCCAGGATACCCAGCCTGGGAACAATCCAACACAGGTACATCCACTATCCTGTCATAAACCAAGACCCGAGAGCCTGAGTGGATTAAATAAGTAAGCAAACATGAACTGCTTTGGGAAGGAAAAATTGTAATTCATTCCAGCCTTGACAAAAGCTTTTGTTAGCAAGAAGTAATTATTGTGTGCATACCATTTCTTTCATTTTCAAGATGAGACTGCAGTAATTTATAGCTAATCCAGACATTCATTCTTAAACATTTCAGAGACTAGCAGCATCCTATCTTCTTGGCTGGCCACAGTGAAACCAGAACTTTTTACAGAACTAACTACTTGCTGAAATTGTCTTAATAATATATATTCAGTACCAGATCTGCCCTCCACAGTGCAACATAGTCTCTCCAGATAGCCCTCTTTTGTCCAAGTTGTACAATACTAATTATGACTTTAACCGCTCTGTGATACCTGCACTGTTATGTGGTTTTGTTAGAAAGATGGACTTTGCCCCGTGAGCGTTAAGGTTGAGGTTAAGTGCTGACCTCTTTATTTGGCAAGCTGAAGAGGAACTCTCGATCAAAGCGCCCAGGTCTTCGTAAAGCAGGATCTATAGAATCCAGTCTGTTGGTGGCTCCAATTACCACAATCTCTCCTCTGCTGTCTAAGCCATCCATAAGGGCCAGAAGTGTTGATACAATAGAGCTAACAGAAAAATATAATTTTCATTCACTGGTTTAGTAAATTTTGTGACGTTCTACATTACTTTCTCCAATGATCACTCAAAAAGGACAAGCTTTTACTGATGAGATGCTGATCAGTGAAAGACTCATAATGAGACATCAAAAAATAGGTAACACAGACTTTGTGCTGATATCAAGCTTAGTAAATTGTTTTCAGTTACTGTTTAAGAATCATCTGAAATTTAGCACCGAATCACTAGTTTTCAGGATAAATGACTGTGTCACATCAAGTTAAATAGGTTGTGGTCTTCTTTTCACAAAGATCAAGGAGCGTCTACAAAGACAGAAAAAATGTACTACCTATGAACTTGGTCTTGTTTACTGGACCTCACAGGAGCAAGACCATCTATCTCATCAAAGAAAATAATTGAAGGTCGCATCTGGTAGGCCTAGAATTAAAACACAGGAATATTGACATAAATAAACCAGCACTATTTTAAAGAGAAAATCAAGACAAATGTTATGGTTGGAAAGTCACTGGAACTAGATTTTTCAGACTGGCATCAGGGGTCTACTAATTGGGCTAATGGAGTAAGTGGCATGAGCAACAGAAGACAGCAGCCTGTGTCAACCCACTGCGACCAGGTGACAGGAAACAAATCATACCAGTAGTTTTACAGCTATTTGGCAACCACCGAGAACAGAGACAGGACTTAACTCAATTACAGGTTCTGGAAGCAAGCTTCCCGTATGAATGTAGATGACCATGCTTTCAGCCTGCATCTGTTTCCCTCTGATCTAAAGCCACCATCTCTTACAACCTTTTTTGTGGCTGGTTTTTAATTTTTTTCTTTTTTTTTCTTTTTTCTTTTTTTTTTCCCTCTTTTTTTTTTTTTCCTTTTTTTGGGGGGGAGGGGGGAAGGCAGGAGGGTTGCTTTGCGAGGTTTTCTTGTTTGTTTTATTAATCTTTCCCAATACATCTCAAGATTTCAAGCCCCTAAAAAAAACACCACAGAAGGAAACACCGACAAACCCATTTCAGTGGAAGGAAGTGTACAAACCATGAAAAGGAGTGAGTTCTTCTTAAAAATATTGACCACAAAAAACTAAACTTACAACTCTGACAGAACACATGGTACATTTCAACCTTACCTGATCAAATAATAAACGAAGCTGTCGTTCTGATTCCCCCACCCATTTACTCAGGCAGTCGGCACCTTTTCTCATAAAAAAGGCGACTCTCCTGTCACCTTGGCTACATTCATTAGCAAGTGCACGAGCAACCAGGGTCTTTCCAGTCCCTGGTGGACCATAGAATAGACAGCCTCTGCAATTAAGAAAAAAGAAAAAAAAAAAGCTTCATGTAAGAAAAAAACATCATGGAAAAGTACTTATTACAACCCCCATCCCTAAAACACACAGCTCTCCTCTCCTAACCAAACAGCTGAAGTGTGAGACAAGCCAAAACAGGTGGAAGTTTTGTGTTCCTACACAATTCAACAAGGCAGGAAACGAAATGTGAATAAAGAGGATAACCCAGATGTACAAAACCTTGAGGAAAGACCATACTGTCCCAGAAGGACAATTCCAAAACTGCTGACAAACTAACAGGGGTGGTTAAAGCACAGTGGAGCCAAACGAGAACCAACTTCAGTGCAGAATCTGAGACTGGGCTAACTTATGAAACACCAGTTCATTCTTCAATGATACACTGAATCTTTGTTCTTGTTTTCTCAAAAGGTTAAGTTTTGATAGTAAAGCATTTCATTCCCCCTTAAAAAGCTTTAAGTTACTGGATTTGGTCTCCCAGACCATCTATTGCTGATGATAAACGAGGAGGAAGTCTAAAGCTGGAAGGATATTGTACATTTCCTGATAAATGCAGCCATCAACTAGAAAAGCCAATACACTGCTGTTTCAAAAAGAATTTCAATGAATAAAGAAGCAAAACACTGAAATATTTTCTTTTCATTATTTGCAATACTTTTGAAATTACTCAAAAGAAAGAATTTGAAGTCATATTTTAATATACCATGAATGAGTTTTGCTGACCAAGAATATGTCAAGCTAACAAATCTCTAATAATTTCATTTAATAACGCACAATTTATCTGTGTAAGAAGTGGACAGATTCTTATTTCAGCCCAAGCACAACAAACATTGCAAAGGTTCTAGCTGCAAGTCTTAGCAATTGTAAAATCAATACTTGAGCACTTGAAAAGAAAGGCAGAGGGAAAGACAACCAGATTTCCAAACAACAAACTATGGCTGACTACCAGCAGGTGATTCCTTCCTGCTTCTAAACTAATCAAGCTGACTTGTACATAGAACTCAAAACAAAAACACCCCAACCCCAGCTTTTAGAGGCAAGACACTTTTAAAGTATATTCTCACCACACAGTAAATCTTTGAGCCTACATATATGCTGGATTCTATCCATTTTTAAGAAATTACTTTTTTACTACTGCTAAAAAGCCCCATCAACACTGCTGAAAATTTTGAAGCATGGAAACATATTGCTACCTCAGTTGAATATTCTCCTGAAAATAGCTGAATTAGAATTTATCGTTTTAAACAACGTCTGTTACCTTGGAGGTTGAATTTTGAATCTCTCAAAGACTTCTGGGTAAAGCAATGGAAAAACAACCATCTCTTTTAAAGCTGAAATGTGGTCAGAAAGACCACCTACAGCATCAAATCGTACCTAAAGATAAAGTCAACAGAACATATTGTATATGTTAAAGACAGCTGCAACCATGATAAGGGTCCATCAGAAATTATACATCAGCACAAAGAAAACTTATGGGGTAATTTTCACATCGCTTGAGAGAAAACTGTAAACCAAGCTAGCTGTAGAGAGCATGCTATTGAAAGCTTTCATAAACACTGGAAACACACCTCACTGACACAGTGAACTAGAAATACTTACTGAACGATCTATTTGCATTGGATCAACATCAGCCAGACTTGCTCCAATTTTCATTCGATCCTTGTGAATTCCCTTTAACTCATCTTTGCGAAAGTTTAGTGGAAAACACCTGATTTGAATTAAGGAGAAAGAGAAAATGTGCTTTCTAACTATAACGTGCAGCTAGATTTTTGCTTTTATAATGATGACAAGGGAATGCAGAAGACCTTAAAAATGAGCACAAACTTCCTAATAGTTAAATATTCCTTCATATTGTTTTACATTTATCTCCTTGAGTACATGAAGGAAAATAGTCACTCCAGACATTAAACTGAGTTCATTATTTTAACAGCTCTTAGCACTTTTGAATATCCATGCCAGTCAACATAGCACATATATTAAATACAAGCTTAGAACAAGTTATTCCATACGTGGAGACTGTGAACTGACCCTGATCTGTGTGATGGAAGAACTCCCCAAAACACACTGACATCTTTCAAAGATTTTTTGTCTCTACATTCAAAAAGTTACAGCCCAAGGGGATACTTATTTCAGTGTGGATTAACCCTGTAAAGGCAGCCCACCACTGCTGGTCCTTCCCAAAGACTTTGGGATGTGTGTGCCAGAAGACACATGTCTGAAAAACATCTGGCTGAAAACTTGTTAGATTGTTATACAAATAGTTTCTCTAGAGCATTTGTTAAGTAACAAAACCTCCATCACTTCCTCTATTTATATCTTCTGTTAACAGTGGTTTTCTTTCTGAATAAAATCCTGTAAAGCACTGGAGCAGTAGAATTTTACATTAAAAAATTACATCAAAGTATTCCTCCCCCATTCCCACCTAGAAATCAAATTGCTTATTGAAAATTAACTCTAAAAATCCAATCTTAGAGAATCTTATAGAGAGTCCAGTTACAGTTGTCAGTACCAACAGATATGACTAAATATTGCCACAATTTAGAAACTGTGCAAGATGATGAGGATAACACTTCGCAGTTAAGCAAATGCAAAGTCCTCTAAAGTAGATTCCTCCCTCCCCTATTCTCCAATTACATCAACCACCTTAATTCTCTGTTACAGCTGTGCTTCCTATGCTTCTCAAAATGCTCTTCATCATCAGATGAGGATGCTGAGGAAGCTGAGGAAGAGGAATCAGTGCTGTGGACTGCATGTCTCTGTCTGCAAGCATTTAAACAAACAAGTAAAAACATTAAAGTACACACTAAATAATATAAAAATTTAAGTGAATTCTATCTCAGAACTTGAGTTTATTAAGTTTCCAGATAATTTACTCCTCATGAATCTGATTTCAAAGTATATTACATGATTTTCCTTGTGACAGCAACATTTAATTTTTCTTAGGAAGGTAAAATGTTTAACTATTTTGCAAAAAAATTTCAGAAACAAATTACTCATTTTGTCCAATCTCCCTCTGACACACACACACACAGATGGAGTTTCATTTCGCATGATGCATCCCCTCTGTCAAACGTCAACCTCGTTAACCTTTAAAACTTTGACTTCCAAAACCCGTCCTGCCATAACTCTCTGCTTTCAAGGATGATAAACAAAGTGTTTTTATCTAGCAAGAGATGGCATTCTCCATGCTCTAGCTGCTAACAGGTTCCAAAATCCCTTTGTCATTACTATTGCAATTTATCATTTATCATTTCTTTTAGCATTTTTCTTGTTTCAGGATAGTTTCATACAGAAACATTAACTAATTCCAAAGAGAAACCAGAATCAGTATTGGAGCGTTTTAAAAAAAATAATAATACACTAAAACTTCCATACAGGCTCTCCCTCTAACTAATCTTCAGTTTTAAGAAAATTATTTCTATGGAGCGTTTTAAAAAAAATAATAATACACTAAAACTTCCATACAGGCTCTCCCTCTAACTAGATTATCTTCAGTTTTAAGAAAACTATTTCTATCCTTCAAGATTCTATCCTCCACGATTTTCAGAGAGAGATTGACTTCAATTCCAGAACAAAGGAACTTCAGTTACACAATCTCAGCCATGATCTCCATCTTCACTTTATCAGTGACCACAAATACTGCATTAAAAAAAGAAAAATCTAATGGCTAATGAAAAGTATAGTTTCCTCCCCACAGTATTTGTTTTCTTTATACCCTCAGACTACCACAGCAATAATCATACTATTAATCTGTAATTAGCACCAATCCAAAAACCCTCAAAAGCATTATTCCATAATGTGACTGACAGCACTGTTGATAAAGAAGAACTATACACCAACCTGTTAGTTCTTTTGCAGCAAGGGCCTTGTGACTGAGCACTTCTAAATGAGTATCTCTGTCTAACAGGTAGAGCGGCCCGAAAAGTACATCTTACGTTGCTTTGGTTCTGTTGAAAGCAAAGAATTTAGAATAATGTTATAAACAAGTTTAAGAGAAAGCAGGATAGTGAAAGAGGCAGAAAATGGGGTGTGTTTCACCCATCTTTAATCTCAGGGAAAGTTGCAGGTGATTGGAAGAGGGATTTTTTTTTTTTTTTTAATTGGTAAAATTTAATTGGTAAAAACTTCAGCAGAAGTGAAACAACACACCCCTGCTTTTTAAGGAGAACTGAAAACCACAAGAGTAAGATTATCAAGTCTGTTTAATAAATAGTCTTTCAAGGATACATAGGTTATTCTTTTAGTGCAAAACAACGAGAAGTGTGCCAAATGGCAAAGAAATAGAATGTGCACAGGATACATGCATTGAATAAAATTTACTTGCAGAATGAAGGTAAGAAATGTAAACACAAGTTGAGTGCGTGCACATATTTTGATTCAAAAAAATCTCAATTATATGCAAGACATTAGTTTGTATGAGAAACTGTGCGTATAACCTACTTTCCAATGGAGCTTGATAGCGCTCAACAGTTTTCCTCTGTCGAAAGTAGTAGCGCTTTCGAGTGCCTGGCCCATCATCATCTTCCTTCTCTTCACTTTCTTCTGATGAAACTACAGTACAATCGATATAACATTAAAGTGTTTAAGTACTGTTCCAAATTACGTTATATTCAAAATGCACTCCACAGATGCCTATAGATTTTACTATTACCTTCATGTTAATGACACAAAAGACGGGAAAACCTGGAAAATCTTAAGATTGCTTTATGCAAGACACATTCCAGAAATTACAAAACACAAAGGAGAAGACATATATTGTTCTGTCCTCGCTGAAATTGCTGCACGACTTCTCAGTCTTAGTAACAACAATTGTGTCATCTTGTTCAGCTAATGTGCAGCTCCTATGAAAACAACTCCTTCAAAAAGTCATTTCTTGCTATTTTGAGAAACTTGGTTTTTATACTACATAGCGGTAAAACTACAAACATGGTAATCTAGCTCTAAATCCTAGCTCTGCCACAGATTACACGAGCAATAATGGGCAAGTCACAGGTTTGAACTTCCCCAATCAGAAAATAATGTCAAATGCCTACCGCCTCTGTAAAGTAACTTGGAATTTTTTCATTAGATTTGGTAAGAATGCAAAAAACCAGATTATTTTTAGTTATTTATTAACCAATTAATTATCTAGCAGGTTCTTAATGATACCTCTCACGTTAACAGCTGGACACCAGGTCAGGAATGTACATGCTCTGTTCACCTAACTGCTCACTAAAATTAAATTTTATACTTTGTAAAGCACTACCCTGGTTTTTTTCTTCCCTCCAAAAGGTCACACTGCTTTCTGAATACAAGATAAGTTACACAAGATATATAGACACCACATGGAAAACTGAAAAATTATTTGGGCATCACTACCATCCCCAGTCCTTGGTACTCCAACACTCCTGTCACAAAGGCACGAATTGCTCTGCTTTTCTGCTCCTCTTCCCCTTGTGCCACCCATCTTCTTTACACCAACACTGACACGCTTTTCCCCACTCCTTCCTGGCACGTTTTTCATTATAAAAATACATTTTAGTTTTTTCCTTTTCTGTCGTAAAGTAGTCTTGCCCCATTCTGTTCCATCCAGAAAGCTCCTACAAGGATTGTTGGACTGACTTCCTTAATCATAACTATCATTCTCTGTAAAACCTCAAAAGTTTTTCCCCTTCATTTCAAACAAAGTTAATATAGCCTTTTACGATTTAACCTTATTCCTCATGTTATTTCCCACAGAGTAACTGGATGACAGCTCCTAATTACAGGCCCGGACAGCAGCTTCCACTGACTGCCTGCTAAACACAAAAATGAACACCACTATCTCCCCCACTGATCTTCACCCTCAGGGGGAGCTTTCCACACACATCTGGGAGCCTGCCTTACTTCCTGAAAAGTCTCGCTGTGCTGCTCAAAACCGTAAAAACTGTCAGGCTCCTGCTGTAGTGAGATCACTATTTCCCATTCTGAGATATACTGTCCATTTCTTAGAATTTCCAGAGCCATATGTTACCTTTTATCTTGGAAGCATTATGGAAAAGCACCAATTCTTTTTTTTTTTTTTCTCTTTCTCTAAATACCTCTTCCGAGCTCACTACAGTACAGCCCTAGAGTCTGTGGCTATGGCTTGTAACGTCAATAACAATACAAACTTTTTAATAGGTGAAAAGGACCCAGTAGTTAGGCTTGTCTCAGTTGTTTAAAACAAGGCTTTTGGCTAGAGCATAGTAAAGAAAATTTAAACCAGAACTAACCTACAACCTCACCTTGATTATCAGCTATTTCTTCATCAGCTCTTTGAATTTCTTTATTTCCTCGGGAGTACATACCGAGGTTTTCCTAATTCAAAGAAACAAGAAAGATCAGTCACAAATATGCAGAAAACCTGACACGGGCGTATCTGGTGCCTATATAGTAATGTTATCAAGGCACTCCATAGACACAAAAGATTAAATTAAAGTACAGGAGGAGAGAATAGGAACATCATTCTGGCACCCAAGATTAGTAACAAGAATTTCTGTTCTAAAATAGGGTTTAGTACATGTGGTAGTTAAATTCTTACCCAGATTAAAAAAAAAAAAAAAAAGAATTCAGATCTAAACAAAAAACTATGAAAGCAAGATATGAAGATGTTTAAAAAATTGTAGTGCCTGTCATTCAAATGGACATTAGAAGGACTTAATTCAACAGAGCAAAACTAAGACAGAGGAAATATGATTGCTGTATATAATTTAACATCAGTTCCTCTAGGGACGGAGGACTACTTAAGATCACAGACAAGGCTGGCACAAGAGCAAAGATAGATAAAGACAGATAAGGACTAAAGTCCTTAGTAAGATTTGAAGTGAAAACAGCGTTCATTCAAAAATCATAAGGCAACTCAGAAAGCATAGCATAAGACATGTATTTCAGCATATTACTGTTATTTCATGTCTTCCAAAGGTATTTCTTCCACCCTTGAGTGTATCTGTAGCATGACCGTAACAGTAAGATGTTAAAATTATAATTAGAGAGAAAAAACAAATGTTATTTTAGACTACAGTATTCTTTGGAAGAAGTTATTTCTGCTAAATCAAAATTACAATAAAATAATTCCCCCATGTGAAATACACGACTTATACAAAAATAGTAAAATAAATGAGTATCTACTTCTTCTTCGTGGTGGAACACTCCAAGGCCTTGCATCATTCGCCGTCTATGCATCTTCTCCATGACATCCATTTTTTGCAAGACTGCTTCTGCAGTACTGAGACAAAAAGTTTACATGTTAGAGCAAAGATAGACAAGTACAGAAAAACCCATTTAAAACAGCACACCTTATCACACTTTATATAGTATGCACAAAGCAAGTCACTGACATTTAGCCAAGTTTTTAAACACTCCTTAAAAATTAGGTGAAACGTTTAAGTTTTTAGAGAGAGATTTAAGAACAAGCATTTGAGGATTTGCAAACATACACTTTTTTCAGGTTTTTTTGTCCCTCTTGCTGAACACAGGAAAAAACCAAATCTGTGCCCAACTTCTTTACACATGAAGCTCCTTCCAAAGACATCCTCCTGCACACACCCTCAGACCTGCAAGTCTTCAACAGACACAAGCACCTATTTCCAAAAACCTCAGGTTAAACAGCTTGGCTGCGAAGTACAAAGGCCCACATCTTACCTAAATCAACAGGTGAACAGGAATTAAAGGACACACCAGTGCAGGCAGAGGAAGAGGAGGTGACCCTACCTGACCAAAGACTTTAACCAGGGGTTACTTAAACACTGAAAGTTCTGAGCCGTGTGACCCTGGTGGGCACCTGCAGCCCAGCATAACAATACAAGGATGTCTTGTACAGGTAGGGAATACATTTATCTGAATACATACCACTGAATACATTTAGCTCTTGCTGCCAGGAATAACAACACCTTTTTCTGTTGTCAAAAGAAGAAAGTCCCTAGCCAATATTATGCCATAGCCCACAGGCTAATAAGGCTCATTTTAGTAGCTCTGCAAGATGAAGTAAAACCCACTTACTTTGTTATAAGTTTGTCAAGCAAAACAGAATCATTTGTAGTGGTATAACGACTTTGTCGAAGTCTACAGCTTCGGCGGACCTCCAAATCCCCATTTTCTTCATGGACTCGTTCTGCAGCTTTTGCTCTGGTCTTCAGTGTTCTGGGAACTAAAATGCATAAATACATAAAATACTTTGAGACAGAAAATATGTTATTTATATTATCTCACTTTTGCTCTAGTAAAATCTTAAAGCATCGGTAGATTGTTTTCTTTCAATACTGAATTAGAAGTCATTGTCATGCCCACAACACTCAAATTACTTATGTTCAAACTACCTGCTTAAAAGCATGACTTGCAGAGCAACTTTTTAATAGATTGGAAAGCCAATCTGATGAAAACAAACATGCTACTTTTGTTCCATACACAAGGCAAGTTTATTCCAGTTACTTCTTTCTGGAAAAATGAAAACAACAAATACCTCTGTCTAAGGTGTTTTCACTCCATTCATGTAAAATTGTATCTAAATTTTTTAAAAAATTGTTTATGTGGAAAGTCTCTTCTTAAGATGCACATTTCTAGTACGCTGCTTAAACGTGCATCACTTTCATTTTCAGCATCATGACACAAAAGCTCTAAAAGATATGTCTCAAGATAAACACCCAAATACCAAAGAACTTAAATGCTTGCCTGCTTTAAAAAAAAGATCTGCCCAGTATTTACTACAAAGCATCCTTCGCCATGGGTTCGTTACTTTCACTGTCATTGAAACTGTTAAAGAGGGGTCAGCGACAAAGTAGTGCACAATTAGAACTTGAATTACTACACACAAAGTGCGTTTCAGGTCCTGTCCCCCGTCCAGCCCATGGCTGGCAGGACACTGCCTGGAAATAACGGATTTTCTCAGCTGCCAGCAAGGGGCCCCGTGGCATCAAGCCTGCTTGTGTACTCAGCACGGCAATTCGGTTCCAAGGTAAATTGCTGAACTTCAGCGACACCTTCCCCACATGAGTAGGTTTGTGCATCTCATGACTGCATTACTTTTTAACTCATGTATATTATAACGCTGCAATATTCCCTTCTATTTGCAAGAATGATTTTCAATTAATTTGTGTCCTGCAGAGCCCAAAGAATCCATCTCAGAAAGAAACTCAAGTTAAGGAACAGAGTCTCTAGTGCCTAAGAGCAGGCTGGAATCCACGCTGTGTTCTCCCCAAGCCTGAAAGGAATGAATAGCATATCGTCCTATTTGCACCTACCTCTTTTCAGAAAACTCACAGGAAATTCACTATCTGTTTGAGATATCTGTTCTCACAACTTCAGCTGATTTTGGTTGAGGAAAGCAGAAGTTTTTGGGGCCAAGTTAAATAGACAGAGTGACCAAACACAAGCTTTCCCAGAAAGCAGGCTAAAAAGGAATCTTAAGGAGTTGCCGCTACTTACCTTCTTTGTATTCTTCTGTTTTTTGGTCTGATTTTGGCTTTGCCAACTGCCTACATCAAGAAAGAGGATTGTATTATTGTATTGTATTATTCCCCATCAAGACTAGGGAACCTGACCAAGTTTATAATCCAGTGCTCCAAATCATGAAAAGAAAACCCTGTGGACCACACTGAGGACTCAGATCCCAAGTCTCCTGTGTATCATATGCAGACAGGTCTAGAAGGATATAAATTTCCTAAGCTGCTAATCTTGAAGTCTCAACAGTGCAAATAAGATCTCAGTAATGAAAGTGGAGGAGAGATCTCAAAGGGCTTGGGAAAAGATGCATGCTTTTTATACAGGCAGAAGACTTTCACTAAGAAGAGTGATTCTAGTTCTAAGATACTGGCACTGACGTTAACATAATCATATTCCCCCGCAGATTTATCATGACGTGACTCATTGTGCATGCTTTCACTTTGCCTTTTAATTCTATGAACTGAACAGAGATTGGACATGTAGAAATACAATACCTTGTAAAATTTCTTTGATTGACATTTTCACTTAATATTTCCATGCTTTTATCAAAACTAGAGTCTGAACAGGGTGGCATGTTTTTTCTCATTGATCTTAAACAATGTCCATTGAAGCATTCAATTTTGCCAGAGGAAAATTCCTAGTGAAAGAAGGAAATCAGAACATATTTATCTGAACCATGCATGTTGAGCTAAGAAGGAAATCCTCCCTCATTTAGGCAAGTTTTTTTCTGTAACTCTCCTGACTCGATTGTGGTGCAACCAACGGCAGGTAAGCCTTGAACCACCTCTGCACCAAGAAGTAGCTCTCAGAAAAAAAGCCCATCTTTCAAAGCTAAAGCTCCTCTCCACCATGCTTTTCTTGTGGACAACTTGAACATAATATCCTTTGAAAAATTACTGTGGCAAAACCTTTCATGTAAACTTAGCATTTGATATAAAAAAAACAAAACAACCCAACAAAACCCAACAACTACCCTTTTATTTTAAAGTTGGTTCAGAGGAGCAGCCAAGCTAGACCCTGCATGTCTTGTGATTTAAATCTAGTTAGGTGAGTTTTTCTCCTCTCTCTCTTCCATTTATGACTGCATTTGGAAGGACACGCGAAGATTTCCTTCAGGAGGACAGCACTTATCCATGGGAAACCAAAGGGAACTCAAGACATGCTTTTTTATGGCTGTTGATCTTGTTTACATTGGTATTTCTGCAAGGAGGATGAGTGTTACCACTTCTACTATGTGAGGAAAGCCGTGATGACCATGAGAGGTGGCTTGTTCAGTTTACAACCCAAAGTTTCATTAGGAGTATGCCAAACCCAACCTCACACTGAAAAGTGCAGAAAACAGACCAGATTCTTCTACATCTTGACACTAACTTTACCAAGAGGTACTTCCATTAGTAGTTGATGGAGATGATGACAGAAGCGTGGAGAAGGTCACTACAGGAGGGCAATGATGCATGCACAAGGCCCTTGCAGGGCTACACAGCGAGAGCTGTGGCCACCCGCTGCCGGGGGGTCAGCCCTGAGCCAGAGCTGGCCACTCCTGTAAGTGTCTGATGGTCTTCTCTTCAGTCAGCGTTGAAGAAGTCATCCCCTGTTCACCTGACCACTTCTCGGATCTAGCACAGATGGATGTAATAACACCTAAAGCTTAATGAGAGGCAGTCTGATCTGTCAAGAGTCACCTTTAACATTTTTTGTATTAAAGCCTTAAGAAAGAAATTTTAACAGAAGACTTACAATTAATTTTTAATTTTACAGAGCCTTAGGTTTATTTGAAGAAGGCAGGTTTTTGTGCACGCTCACACACAGGAGTATATAAAGACTTAAACCAATACTTTCAGAATTCCTCACTGAGACAACTAGAAAAAAAATCCCTAGACCATGAAATAATGATGTTCTCCCACCTGCAAACATACTCAACAGTATTCCTACAGCTGGTATGACTGTGGCTTATGTATCATCCTATAAAATCTATAGGCATGCCTGGGAACTACCTATGATGTTAGGTTCCATGATTAAAGGCTAATCTGCAAAAAAAGGCATCAGGGAAGCACCAGTGGGCAGAGGCACCCCAGTAACACAGGGCTGGGGAAGCAGCCTGGCCCCGCTCCATCACTCAGCCCCAGGTCTGGGTGCAGGGTTAGAGGGACCCCCAGGGGGACAGGCAGGAGAGGCCTCAGGTGTCACCGAACAGACCAAGTGAGGGCCCTGCCTAAAAGAGGTCTCACTGTGGGACGCCTCTCTGTCCTGGCTTCTTTCTTTAATGGCATTTCTATCTGTGTCCTGGGGCACAGAGGTCCGAGTGGCAGGCATAGGAGAAGGGGCCACACCTCCACACAGCCTGCGCCACGGCAAACAGACACCACGCCAGCATAGCTGGCAGGTAGCTAAAGTTTTTGGGAGAAGGTACTGGAAAGGCCATGACTCTGGGCCAGACAGGCGAGAGGCCTGGGGGTCTGCGCCAAGTGCTGGGCTGGGGGCAGCTACTGCAGAGGCCACAGGTCAGGGCCAGGGACCCACTGGTGCCTGCACATGAGGTCACCGGGAGACCAGGCCATCTGGGGCTAGTTACTGGTTTGACTGAGCATTGAAGGACAGTTACAGAGCGATATGCATAGCACATACATGCACACACGGGGTCTAAATACCAGCAACTGGAGCGGGCTGTGTGCTCCTGGGGCTTACACAGGTGGCTGCCAGCCCCGGGGAGACCTGGGCATCCGGGGGCAGCTGCAGACAGACTGGGTGCCCGAGATCAAGTGCAGGGATCCATATTATATATATGCATCTGCACGTGGGTGTATTTTGCCACTAATGGGTTTTAAACCTGATCAGCCAGAGAGGAAGAAGGATCAGGCCATTTTTACTGTTCATAGGGCTACCAGAGTCTTTTTACAAAAACTGTGTTTAGCTACCTGGTATCTCTGAGGAAGTAACTCTGTGTTGAAATACTACCAAAACAGATAAACATGCTTAAGCAACAAGACTGTCAGCTGTGATGCCAAAGTCCCTACACAGACAAGTCATGAAGGCTCATGCTGGAGAAGTGCCCGTTTCTACTTTGTCCAGACAAAAAGGGAACTCTGGAGCACACTGCCCTCAAACACAGGTCAAAAGACAAGAATCGCGTTCAGCTCGGGGAATCACACTAGGGTTACAGGCCTGCAGATGCACAGCTTCCAAAGGGACAGTAACCACTTTGGACCTGCTACGGGACTCTTTGGGACTGGAAACATGGAAAAAGATAAACCCATCAGATGCTGGTTTACCTTAGACTTTCTGCCATATGCTCCTTACTCTCTATGGATGAAATAAGCTGAATAACTTGAGGTAGACTGCTTGCTGATATAAAAAAAAGAATGCTAAAGCTGCCACCACCAAGTCCTTGCACATCAACAAGTCAGGAAAGAGGGCATTAGGACTTGAACATGCAGGTAGCACCAGCATCATCATCTCTTGTCATCTCAGGCACTTCTGCATTGTCTCTGCAGTTCAAACACTCCAGCAGAGCCCAGCCATTCTACAAATGAATAATGACTCCATGCCTCAAAGCATGGGAAAGGTCTGAAAAAAGGAAAAAAAAAACAAAAAACAAACCGAAGAATAACCTTACAACCAGTTTCATAATGATGAGTCTGCTTTTGGTTTCAGTGAAAAGTTTACATTTAGCTTCCTCATTCCTGTTCTCCACACTGTGAACATGTGCCAGCTGCTTTATCTGCCTATCTTTGCACAGCCTGCCCCTGTGTGCAACGGGCAGCTGAACTCCCTGAAGCCTCCAACAACCATTTTTAGTGTAGACTCCAAAAGCAAAACAGTCATCTTTAAGACTCTATGATTGTTTGCAAAGAAAAAAAACAACACCCAAAACATTCCCCACGATTTCTTTCTTTGTTCAGTAGTCTTGCAGATAATGAAAAAAAAAATCCATGCAACTGAAAATCCTTAAAGAATTCTGCTGGAAGGAAACAGAGTCCACTACAAGCATGACTCCAAGGCAGGGCTCCCCTGAAGAGCAGGCCACTTCTGAGTTGGATCTGATCTGCCCTTGCCATGTAAACGCAGAACACCCTGTAGAGAAGAGCCTGACTTGGAAAGAGCAGAGAAGAGTTTTAGCTTTTGAAGGCTACATTAAAAACAATGAACTTCTCATCAAGTGAAATGGTTCTGTCATTAAAGTAGCAAAACTGAGATGCAGATAGTATGGACGACTTAACATCCCTTATAATCATGTAAGTTGTCTCTCTTCTATTAGGGTAGATTAAAACTATAAAAAGCTTAAGTAAAATTTTCAACATTTTAGGTTATGCGCGTAAGTGCTTTAGTGAAGTACAAATTAGTCCTGATTTCTAAACGGAGCGTGTTTTTGAAGCACCCACAGTACCTACAGACGCCTGCCTGAGGAGTATGGGTTTGATGCATTTTTTTTATCAGAGCAGCGAGCGCTCTCTCTACAAGCGCTACCGCAATGACAGCGATCTCTAACCTCTTCCCAAGATAACTTTTTATGTAAGAAAGTTAACCAAATTAAAGGGGGAAGGGGAAATACCCATACCAAGCCCTAAGACGAAGCAGAAAGTTCACACTGACAGGGCTGCAGGCAGCCCGGTGCCTGTCTCTCAGCTCCCTGTCACCGGTCCCCAGACCAGAGCCTGTG